ACTTGATCACTGCTCAGTGCAGGTTTATGAAGGCGGAGGGAGGCACAGGCGTTTGATCATAGCACAGTACAATCGATTTTGCTTCACCGCTCTCTGCTGACAACACAGCCAGCAGCAAGCAGCAGCAGCAGCGTACGCGCCTGTTGCATGCGTTGTGGCCGCCCAATTCAAGATCTGTTCACAGCCTCTAGAGTCTAACCTCGTTAGCGTCTGGCGAGGTCACGTGCGTTCCCGCTGATTTGGGTTCGTAGGCCCACCGACTTGTATCGGTAAAGGCGCAGCCCTGCAATTGCCTGCTCACGCCACTGCTGGTGGAAGATGATCCACGAGAGGGAGCTCTGGAGAGCCCCGCCGCTTGGTATTTTGGCCGGCTCTTTCACTCTGGACAAACACATCGGCATCAGAATTATGTATTTATCCGATGAGTTGTTTGAAGTTCGAAGTTATTTTTCACAGATGTCCAGTGGACGATACCTGACACGCCGTATCCACCACATGAAACCTCCTTGCCGTTTGACTGAGGTGTTCCTACCTATCCTGCTGATTGGGTGCTCAGATGGTTCTGTCCCAACGGTTGGGGTGATAGATTTACGGATTTTACCATCTTTACCAATCAAAACCATTACCTTGCCATACATAGCAGAGGTCACCAAAAAGATTTCCAAAATCATGAGCAAACACAAGATCCAGGTTCGATTCAACACAGTACATAAAATTCGTGATCTGATCCCATCTGTGAAGAATGTGATCCCTGACATGCAATACCCCGGTATCTACAAACTAAGATGTATCTGTGGCAGCAGTTACATTGGGAAAACTAAGCGACATGTCTCAGACCATGTTCATGAACATAAGGCAGATCTGAAACATGGTAGGACCAATACAGTGAGGGAAAAAAGTATTTGATCCCCTGATGATTTTGTACGTTTGCCCACTGACAAAAAAATTATCAGTCTATAATTTTAATGGTAGGTTTATTTGAACAGTGAGAGACAGAATAATAACAACAAAATCCAGAAAAACGCATGTCAAAAATGTTATAAATTGATTTGCATTTTAATGAGGAAAATAAGTATTTGACCCCCTCTCAATCAGAGAGATTTCTGGCTTCCAGGTGTCTTTTATACAGGTAACGAGCTGAGATTAGGAGCACACTCTTAAAGGGAGTGCTCCTAATCTCAGCTTGTTACCTGTATAAAAGACACCTGTCCACAGAAGCAATCAATCAATCAGATTCCAAACTCTCCACCATGGCCAAGACCAAAGAGCTCTCCAAGGATGTCAGGGACAAGATTGTAGACCTAAACAAGGCTGGAATGGGCTACAAGACCATTTCCAAGCAGCTTGGTGAGAAGGTGACAACAGTTGGTGCGAATATTCGCAAATGGAAGAAACATAAAATAACTGTCAATCTCCCTCGGCCTGGGGCTCCATGCAAGATCTCACCTCGTGGAGTTGCAATGATCATGAGAACGGTGAGGAATCAGCGCAGAACTACACGGGAGGATATTGTCAATGATCTCAAGGCAGCTGGGACCATAGTACCAAGAAAACAATTGGTAACACACTACGCCGTGAAGGTCTGAAATCCTGCAGCGCCCGCAAGATCCCCCTGCTCAAGAAAGCACATATACATGCCCGTCTGAAGTTTGCCAATGAACATCTGAATGATTCAGAGGACAACTGGATGAAAGTGTTGTGGTCAGATGAGACAAAAATAGAGCTCTTTGGCATCAACTCAACTCGCCGTGTTTGGAGGAGGAGGAATGCTGCCTATGACCCCAAGAACACCATCCCCACCGTCAAACATGGAGGTGGAAACATTATGCTTTGGGGGTGTTTTTCTGCTAAGGGGACAGGACAACATCACCACATCATAGGGACGATGGCCCGGGGCCATGTAGCGTCAAATCTTGGGTAAGAACCTTCTTCCCTCAGCCAGGGCATTGAAAATGGGTCGTGGATGGGTATTCCAGCATTACAATGACCCAAAACACACGTCCAAGGCAACAAAGGAGTGGCTCAAGAAGAAACACAGAAGAAAAACCTTAATCCCATAGAAAATCTGTGGAGGGAGCTGAAGGTTCGAGTTGCCAAACGTCAGCGTCGAAACCTTAATGACTTGGAGAAGATCTTCAAAGAGTGGGATAAAATCCCTCCTGAGATGTGTGCAAACCTGGTGGCCAACTACAAGAAACGTCTGACCTCTGTGATTGCCAACAAGGGTTTTGCCACCAAGTACTAAGTCATGTTTTGCAGAGTGGTCAAATACTTATTTCCCCCATTAAAATGCAAATCATTTTATAACATTTTTGACATGCGTTTTTCTGGATTTTTTTGTTGTTATTCCGTCTCTCACTGTTCAAATAAACCTACAATTTAAATTATAGACTGATCATTTCTTTGTCAGTGGGCAAACGTACAAAATAGGCAAATCAAAATCAGCAAATCAAATATTTTTTTCCCTCACTGTACCTCAGCCGTGGCTGATCATTGTTTTAATGCTGTGGGCACACACGGAATTGATTTTGCCAAGACGAAGGTACTCTGCAAACCCACTGGCTATCAGCAAAGATTCGTCCATGAAGCCATCCAGATATATAGACACAGACACAATTTCAACCGAGAAGATGGGTACAAACTGAGCAATCATTGGAAAGACGTTATTAACCAGTTTAGGTCATAACTGGCTGTGATGTTCCCTTCCTACCTGCCTATGTTAGCAGTTATTTTCGACTCTGAGTTACATTCACTAACACAGCTACCGTTGCTCCTTTTTCTCGATGTGGCGGTGGCTCTTGCCGAGCTCTCTCCGATTTTACATTTACATGCAAATGTCTTACATTGACATGCTAATCTCTCACAATACAATGGCCAACCCCACAGCTTCGTCGTCGTGGGTATGACTCAGCTCTCCGATTTATCCTTGGGCTACACCCATCTGAAACCTTTATAACACTCTGCCTTAGCAGCTCTCCCACCATATATTTTTCCTGCCTCAGCAGCTCTCCCGCTATATTTTTTCACCTGATGACGATTGCTTGTATTGCGATCGAAACGTCGTGATATTGTTATTATTTTTATATTTTTTCTATCTACGTGGCTTTACCGGGAGACCCAAAGAATATGAATACCTGCAGTCACGAAAGCTTTAAGTCAAGATTCCAGATGTGCTTAAGTCATCTGAGATGCTCTCTCACGGTCTGTCTCGCATGGTCGCATCTAGAGGCTATTTATATATCGCGTTCTCCTTTTGCCCCAATCGCATCACCTTTGCGCTCAGGGTCTCGAACGCTTCACGCTGTAGGGGCTGCTCCGTCTACGCAAAATGCAGCCGCAACAGCTCTGCCTGTCGACCTGGTTACACCGTGATGACAGCGACATTGAAGACAAGCAATTTGCGGAAACCAAAACGTTACTGCTCTAATTAAATTAAAATAAATCGTGGAATGTAAATGAAAGCGTTTTCATTAAAAAATATATATATTTAAACAGCGTTTTAAATAAGTGATTTGTTCTTTTGAACACAAATCTCATGGTGGTTGTCAAGGGGGCCCCGACTCGTAGCTTTGGCCACAGGAGGGAGGGGGGGTGGGCAAGGCACTCCCTGTCTGCCGCCACGCTCGCTGCGCTCCTGGCAACGAGGAGGGTTCAACAGCTCACAGCCATTGGGTCCCAGGCTGTGGCGAGTATCATAGGGGTGGGGGCAGGTCACGCGGTATAAACAACAACAAACCCCCCCCCCCCCGTCTCATGCTCATTACGCACGACACGCATTGCGCACGTTTAACGCCACGAGTTCTCAAGGCGCTGCGGCTGGCGCCAGCGGCCAATAGAGAATGATCGAGGATGCAACAGCGACAGCAGCATCATGGAAATGAGGCTTGCATAGCTAGCCCCAGCGCCGTGCATACAGATGACTCGTCCTTTGCCAGTGGATTGATGGGACTCGGAGATCGATAGCGCGAAAGGGGCCATTGGACAATGCATCACGGCACAAAGCCTTGACACGGCAATGGAACGGTGGCCGCAAAGGCTGCGAGCGGTGTAATATGACAGCGCACCATGGATTTAAAACTGGGACCGTGATGTAAAAAAAACACGTTGCAATTGTCGCACACCGCGCGATGACAGAGAGTGTTGGGCCCGTCTGCTCCGTGGGTAACTCTCAAGGGCCACGACCACGGTGGTTCAAATCAGTGGCACAAAAAAGTGTCGCGCTGCTGCCGGGGGACGCAAGTCAATTTACCAGAATGTACAAGTAGGAGTGTGGCATGTACATAATGAATAACGACCTATATTCTTCTTCTTCTTCTTCTTAAAAAAAATGGTCTTGGGCAGGGGACGCATCGCTGAAAGGCATGATGGCCCATGAATGGAAGTGACGCGGTGGAACGATGGAATGGCAGCCAGAGGAGGAAAAACGCCGGGGCAGAGGATGGCTGCTGTGGAGATGCAGCGATGAGATGCAGCGCATTGGGGGCTGAATCCGGATGTGTCGTCGCATCATCGCGAGACCGTGCAGGAATGCGGTGCGGCTTCACCTGGGAGAATGCCTTTCATCCAACAGTGGATAGAGCACGTCTGACAGTGATCATGACTGTGCATATAGATATAGAACAAGACATTAAATAAAAATAGGTGCTTTTAAATAGTTTTCACATTGTAAATGCCAAGAGTATTTAAATCCTGTCATGGATTGCAGGCACATGTGCACATACAGCATGTGTATGCATTTATTGTACATTACACTGTACATATTTTGCAAATGTTTGCAAATTATCATCTTTCACAAAACATTTGACAGGTTATGGCGGCACTAATGCATTTCAGCGTAAAGTTTCACGATGGAAATGTGTGCTTACTGTGAATTGTCTCGCTCGATACTGGCATATCACAAATGTGGCATGAACGTGAAATTGGGAAATACTGGACTCGTATGTAGACAATATCATTGGTGGTATAAATGTATAAATAAATATACAATTGTGAACGCAATCTCTCTTCGAGTTTTTATTCATTTATTGAATAAAAAAAGTCTTGCTCTCTTATTCATCAACATTATAGGCCCACAGCAAGAACAGTGAACTTCCGAGCTACAACGGCTCGCTCTAGCCAACATTCACAGGTACACGATGGACGCAGTCCTGACTCGAGATCGTACTGCTGTGAAAACAAACAAAAAATGTCTCCCAACGCACGGTTAAATGAAAAAAAAGTCTTCAGTGTAATGAATGGTGGGTGTTACAACAGGAACGGATGCATACAATTATGCCCACTCTGCACTGCCAAGTGTTATTTTCATTTCTTGAAAAGGACAACGCCTATTCGTTACTGAGCAAGCAATAAACAAGGCTGAAACATGCAAATCGCCACTCCGTACAAACGTTTAAACGAAAAATCACTCAACTGTAGAATGTTATCAAAAGCAAAAAAGCTGAACCACGCAATAATAACACAACCGATTTGAGTAATTTCCAAAGAAAATTGTCTACATTCGCTGTATATGTATTACTCACAGTGTTATTGTGCTCTACGGTAGTAATGTACACGAACGGGTCTTTTGTCATCCACTGCTGGATGTGGGGCTCTCCCAATGCCAATGTGGCGCCCTCACCATACCAATGTGGTTCATCGGTTAATTGGCCGTCTCCTTTATCAGACCGGGTGAATGCAGTTTTCTGCACTGCCCTCTGCTGTCCACCACGCACGGCGGAGTCCTTTGAGAGCCTTTAAAACCTGCATCAGTCCACATGCTGGCTCGACCATCTGAGCAACGATCCGGGCTCAACCGCTCCTTGGAAACCAAGATGAGACCTGGCGCATCACGAATGATCTCGTCACAGGCCTCGACATTGTACAGAGGGTGGTCCACATGTCTTTTGACCCCCAACTAATTGACCCCCAACATTTGCTTCCCCTTATTTCTGATTTTACACCCATTGGAATATATATTAAAAATAAAAAATAACGTTTTCATAAAGTAAAATGGGGATCACGAGACATCTGGACCACACATGTACATTGTATCGTATCGTGTGGTGAAAGCGTAACAGCTATGAACGTAAATGCACTGACACATACATTACACGTACAATATCATTGGGATGACTGATATGGGTCAGATTTACATGCCGGCAGAAATATATCGCCGTGGCAGCTTGCCGCATCGCTGTCGACCAAGAGGCATCGGCGTGCATTTCGACGCAATTTGGGCGAAAATGTTCACGACATATATGGGGATGTGACCCATTTGGCCAGGGTTGTCCAAACTCCAATCTTTGCTACCCACGACCACCACGCCACGTCTGTCGGCGTCCACCAATTCACTCCTCCCCATTCAAATAAAAATTAACTCGTTCCACGCTGCACGCACCCGATGATTGTTAAACACATACCACGTGACGCGCTAAGCAGTAAATGAAGTCTGCGTTTCATGGCCGATTCAAAATAAGACTGAGATCTCTGTGCGCGTGTGTGCGCGCTTGACGCAGAGGGCGTTAATTGCTTTAGCGAGTCACGTGTTAAATAATCATCGGGCGCGTTCAGGGTGGAATGATTTAATTAGTAGTTTGAACGGGGAGGAGTAAATTGGTGAACGGTGAAAGACGGAGCGTGGTGGGAGGTCGTGAGGACTGGAGTTTAGAAAACCCTGCATTGTGCGGTTTGCTATGTTATTCATGACGTGCAATTGAAGCTTTTAAATTACACATCTTTTTTGCAATTATATTTTGAATTATTATTCTGAGATGTAGTTGTGAAATGGAACTGCTCTGACATCAAAACGCTAAGCCACATTTAAATTCGCCCAGGAATGCGGCGTTTCCCCCCTCCTGCTTATTAACTTTGAAGTTGTCTCTTTCAAAGCGTCTCACGCTGAAAGACGGGGATTCAGTTTTTTTTTTTGTTCACAAGCACAATAAATTAACCAGGATGAACGTTTGTGTATGGTCACATCCACGTTAACGCTGCGAATTACAAACATATCTGCAAACGGTGTAAGCATTCCGTTTAACAAAAATCATGAGCCATTTGCTGGCTCTTTTTCACAACACATGGCCTTAACGTTTAGCCTCCTTTATATATAACATGTCAACAAAAAGCCATGGACGGCAAGATCTTAATTGTTCTCTTCTGCCCGGCATTGGCAGCTGATGACGATGTTCCTTGGCCTTCTTTCACTGCTTCCTTTCCCTGGTCATGGCGATCATTTCCTCTCAGCCCGCGTCTCTTTTAAATCCTCTGTCAATCCACCTTTTGTGAGGGTTGTCTCTACTCGCCGCTCCTTGCACATGGTCGGCCGAGGCCAATGGTGACGTGGTTAGGGTCAGGGTTATTTTCTGGTCTCCATTCCATTTACATGTCCAAACCAAAGTAATACCCGTTCTTGTATTGTTTGAGTCAGAGCCTTCTGCTAGCCTAGTTTGTTTTTCTTCAGGTTCCCAAATTATGGTACTGTATTCCGTACAGCAACATGCTGTACTGTACTCAAATAAAGCGTATTTATTTCGAAGCCCTCAGGCACAATGGAGATAATAAAACATGATGAAAATGGAGATCTTTGTTGCCGACATTCTGCCAGTCAAGGGAGATGGTGCGGTTGATTTGACTATACTTCACCACACTGGTCAGTTCAGGTTGCTAAAGGGAAGTGTGTCCAGGACTACTTCAGATATCACTCGCCACTGACGTTAGCTGGGGCTGGCACTCAAACTTAGCTCAAGCTTTTCCCCAAACCTATATCATCAATTAACAATTATACAAGCACACTGATATTCGGTTTTACTCCGTGACGTATTAATTAGTCCGATTTTGAAAATATAAAAAAAAATATCTGAAAAAAATGTTCACTGCGTGAGTTACTCTGACGCTGATATTTATTGTTCTGTAAATATCATCAACATGACAAGTGCATTGATGTGTTGGGTTATCAAGTAAAATATTCTACTGTGTTTATGATTTTTTGTATGCTTTCATAAATAGTAAACACTTCCATCCTCAATGCTACCACCACCACCATAGTAATACTGCTCAAATTGGACGGCCAGGCCAATATGGTAGATGCAACGTTGCAGCCAGTCAGTCGTCACGACCTCGCCCATAGTGCCCTCTGCTGATCGTAAATGAGAAAGACTGCCCGGCGGAAACTCGCAGCAGCCACAGTGTGCGCACCCCCCCCCCCGCCACCTCATCTGAGACAACGTTGGATAATATGGCAAATATAAGATCTAAACACCACGCGTTGCATCTGATGGCATGGCTTCGGCTAACGCTTCACACGCCGCAGTAGGAGTAGCAGTCACCTCAAAACGGGGCTTCTGGCTTCCTGTCTGTAGGCTCTGTAGTTCAGAAATACATTGGGCTTCTGTCCACAGTGGCACTGTTCTTCCATTGACTTCCAGAGGTGCTCGTGAAAGATATTTCCTCATCGAACACGTTCACAACATGGCTGTGGGGTATAAAAGGGAGATGATTAAATAATGCATTTTATACTTGCCAATAGCTTAGTGGATATGTATATGCTGATCATCAAAAACACACCACCCCCCCCCCCCTGCCTCTAACAAGGCCGATTCGAAGAGTTATCACAATTTTAGGGTATCAATTAAATAAAAATAGCAATTCCTAGTTTAACATTTGTAGTTTGCAGGGGTCAGCTGAAACCATTACATACGGCATATATGATTTGGAAAACATTGATTATGATGCTCGTGATTTGTAGCATATTTTGTATTAATTCATGAAATGACAGGCCCTTATACTCCTTGTGATAATTGTGGGTTCCCTAAGAAGAACAAATATTGATAACCCACGTGTTTTTTTTTAAACATAAGCCATGCGCGCATCACTGCAACCCTTGATAATACACTTTTCATACTTTTGCTTTGATTGTATCATCTCCCTCTGGATGATAATAAACTCTCCGATGTGTGTTCGGAGGTTGTGCCACGATGTCCGACGATTCGTTTCACATGCTCGGAGCTTCTTCGGCATCGCGCTTGTTGCCGAACTAATACGGATGTCATAGGTCACTGTAATTCCATTAACCTGCTCGCTGGACCTCAAGACAGGATCATTGCCCGCGCATCTAACCGGGAGAACGCCAATTTAGATTCATAACCTTCTGTAATAGGGGCCAGGGGGTAGAAAACTCGACACAGTAATTCCACAATGCTGTGAACATCAATGCAACGCACTTGAGGAGGAGAACCTTCTTTAACTTCAGGTGGGAGGTGGCTGTCCAGATAAAACTCAGGGCCCTCAGTGGATTTTGGCTCAATGCTCTGTCATAGGCATATGAGCATTCAATTCTAACCACCCACTCTCTCTCTCTCTCTCATTCTATCAGGACTTACTCTTTGGTCCTTTCGGTAAAGTCACGTAGAAAGAAAATAAATTAAATAATAGAGCACGACGTTTCGTTTGCAACACAAGCAACTGTCATCAGGTAGAACTAAATTTGAGAGCGAGACAAAACACAGACACGGAGACACACAAGCAGAGAGAGACAACACAGACACACATAGAGAGACATACAACATAGACACACAGAGCTTCAAATCAAGTTTTATATCAGGACTGTTTTTTTATCTGTGTTTTTGACCGTTAAATCGCTCGTTTGTTGTGCAACATCCCTTAAGGACCCTGTACTAATTTCTCCAATATCGATATTTTTGTCTCTGTTTTGTTGCTACTGTTGCTGTGATCAAGCACCACGGACCTCCCGTGTGAATTAGCCAGGTAGCTGACTCAACGTGACAATCATCCGTGCAACAAGTCAAATTTAAACTCAACACTTCACCCACGTCGAGATTTATTATCATTATAATAATGCCAACAACCGTTTCATTAGCACCGCAACCATGGCAAGGCGTTATAAGGGTACTGTGGCGAGCGGACCGGTGGGTGTCCGCAAGACTGTGTTCCTGATGCTAAGATTTGGAGTCGTTTTCATTGGGAAAAGTGCCATTGGTGCACAGTGATCCCGCACATGTTTTGGTTGACAGTGGTCTGAATTCGAAGACAGTATATGCATGTTGAACCTCTTCTTTCGCACCGTACGTAGCCAACCATGCTTATCGGGGGGTGCGGAGGAATGACAAACTAAACACAAAAAGCAGCTCTGAAGAAATGTGTTTTCAACCTAGATTTCAAAGTGCATAGCAGTGGCATGAGCAAGCAATTGCAGTGATGTACCTTCATCATAATCGTATATACAGTATTTTATATACACAACAAATGCAGTTGGCTGATGGCTGGTGTGCTCACTCGTCTAGCCTGGATAGCTCATCGGATTCCTCCAGGATAAATACAGATTCTTATTCTGACACGTGGGCCAGTAGCCAAGTGTGAATGGGCTGGCTGTGCGAGGCCTCAAAACGTTCTCGCGCGCTTGTGTACGTGTGTGTGTGTGTGAGTACGTAAGTACGTTTAACTTCTTTAACGCTGTACGTAGCCAACCGGTGAATTTTTGTTTGCGAGTGAGCATTACCTTGTCCGGTCAACGCTCCTTGAGTGCGCGTCTCTCCGCTGCGCTGACGTGTTGCTCAAGCACCTGCTCAGGCAGCAGACGATGAAACACAGGCCGAGGAGGAGGATGACGGCGCCGCTGATGATGGCGACGATCACGGCGATTTCGTGCCCTTTGTTTTTGAAAATGTCTTGGTTTCCCTCTGTTCAGATGCAAAGGTTGCAGCACGCAGTCAGACAAGGCACACAAACGCCAATGCATGGCATTAATTGCTCGCAAACATCGGCTGACAGACGTCGTAAGATAAATTATTTGATGACGCCAAATAATTCCTGTTTAACCACGGAGGCTTCCGCGATCAATGTTATCAATGATAAAGGTTTTTTTGGGGTTAAATGGCATACATATAGAGAAACAGGAAGACCTCTTCACAATTCTGGCAAATTGCCTGATGAAGCTGGTTGTAATAACCAGAGAAAATGTCGTACACAAATTGTAAATGCAGTGGGTTTACTCTCCAACACACCGGTGTGTTGAAGTAGTAACAAATTGGCATGTTTTGTTTAAGTGATGAACCTTACTGATTGGCTGTGTCGGGTGGTGGCGTGTTTAACGACACATTTATATTGACGCGATCTAACATAAAAATAAACATTATGATGGCAAACAATTCCTTTTCATCCCTGTTGCTCTATGCCCCGGCACTGTTCCCGTTCTGCTATAATGTGCACCATTGCCTACTTTACTGAGGGCGATATTGGCACGTAAAATAAAGATTGATTGATGGCGCGTTGGTCGTTGTGCTCATGCATGATTGCATTTGTAAGGCGCATTTCATCCGTAGATCCCGATGTGCCTCGTGCATGGAAAGCCAGGAAATAAACAGAACCTCCCGGGTAAAGGGCCAGCACTCGGGGGGTAAAGGCCAGTTCAAAGAGGAGAGTTTTGCAAGGCAGACCTAGCTGAGAACTCTTCAACTGTAAAACAGGGCAGTGCCTTGGAAGCTAAGCGCGCTTACACACCGTGCGCATTTAGTTGTATTGTATGAAGAAATTCTACAGAAAATAATTGAAGAAATTGCACATGAATAATAATACTGCGTAATAATAATTACTTATTTATCCCGTAGAGCCACACTGCGCCGAAGGACTCTATTTAAGGAAGGTCCTGCATTGGATTTTTAGTTTAATATGTCAGCCAATAAAGTGTTTATCCGTGTGGGATGAAACCGGGGTGCCCAGAAAAATCTGCCACGCATGAGGGAGAAACGCTCCATCCCCATACAGATGGAAACCGATGTAATTTAGTCCACCTGCTGAACCGCCTTCTGCTGGCGAGCCAGGATATGGCACCTCCTCAACAGCCACAGGAAAGAGGTTTCACAACATCTGTGTGCGATCCACCAAACCCCGCTGCAACCACGTATGTATGTGTGTGCATGTTGAACTTCTTTTACACCGGACGCAGCCAACCGTGCGATTTGGAGTGCTGGATTAGAGGCCACGTGTGCCTTTGCCACCCGGTTGAATGAACACGGGACGTTCCGAAAACTAGCTAAAAACCTAGACCGACGTGACACGCACGTGATGCATTGTTGCACGTGTTATCGTGAATCATTGCATGGCATGACACGGTTGAGGAGCGCGTATGCAGAGTGTGCCTACGTTCACCTCAGATAACCCCATGTGAATACGGATTTGAGCGATGCGTCTACACGAACAACTGAATGTCGCAACCGTGGACCATCGCTCGTACACATTCGAAAGCTCGGCTTATCGCATCCAACAAACAAAAAACATTGACAAACACTCGTCAGTCATCGCTGCACGCAGATGACAGGTCTGCATTGTCTTGCTAAAAATGTAAAAAAACGCAAACGCATTTCGAGTGTCCTGTTTTCCAAGCTGTGTTCCTCCAGTTAATATATATTTTTTATCGTGTTTAGCAAACTGATTGTACGTGACTTGATCACGTTTGCGTTTCAGCCTCCTTTGTTAAGAAGGCTAAAACGCAATATTTTAAGGCAAATCGGTAGGTTCCTTTTTCATTATTAACACATTAAGTTGAACAGTTTATTTAGAATTGCCCTGTGAGCTAAGAAGCTCTGGAATCGGGTTTCATCAACAAAACAGAAAAACTGTAAAATAAAAAAACAAAACTTTTGCAACAGGTCGCATAAAAATTACAAATACAATACAGCAGTGAAAAAAGTCAAAAAAATGTTTTACAAGTTCTCCAAATGAACTCCAACCTTCTCTAGTCCCCGCTATTTCATTATGTATCCATTCGTTTCCATCGTGGTCCACCCGTCATTAGTTGTCTTGAGGCATCTACAAACACACACCGGTGGTGTCTGTTCCAGATGTGATCCTTCCACAGACATCGCCGGGCAAGTCGTGGTCGCCACGATAGCCGTGGCCTGTTATCCAGCACGAGAGAGGCAACGAAGGTCGGTGGATTGCACAAACGATGTGAAACTCCCTTCCCGTGGGGCGTCGAGGAGCCTCATACCCTGGCTCACCAGGAGAAGGCTGTACAGCAAAGTTGACTTCTGTCCATGTACATCTGTACGAGGAGAGAGTGTTCCTCCCTCGCACGTGAGGATTTTCTCCAGGTGCTCTAGGTCCCCCCCCCCCCCTCCCTCCACATGTATATACACTCATTATAAATTGGCTGAAAAATAATCTTCAATTTAAAACCCAATACAGCAGAACCTTCCTAAACATGGTTATTGGCTCAGTGTGGCTTTCCTACATAAATTAGCCATGTTATTATTATTAATTATCTGTTATTGTATAGAAAACTTTCTGTTCTCGATTGTTGTGTCGCTCATACGCATTTATATTTCGTTTCCATTGCAGCTTTACTCGCTCCTCCAATCGTTTCCTGTTGTTCATCATGACCATGTCATCAGCAGCTATGGCACGGTTCACATTTTCTCAGTTTGTGTTTACACCATTATTTCTCCAATCCAAGTTTCAGCAACTGTCAACGTCGCTTTCTCCAGCGATCAATACATCATGGCTAATGATGATCTCCAGTGTGCAGTATAAAACCAAATATAGGGGGTGTATCAGATTAGGTTACTTATCAGATGGGGTAACAGGACATTGTGGACACATTGTACAATGAAGGCCAAATACGACAGGAAATAATGCAAATTAGTGATTGTATATTTTTTAATGTCATTTCCAAAACCTCTCATAAACAAAGTATCCAGATTTAAAGCTTTAGTGACTGCAGGGATTCATATTCTTGGTTCTTTCGGTATGATTGCAATGATTGCTTGTGTTGCAGTCGAAACGTCGTGAGAATTTCATTGTTTAATATTTTTATTATTTTATTGTTTCCCTTCTACGTGACTTTACCGAAAGAACCAAGAATATAAAGTATCCAGACTTTGCCAATCTACTCATGGGCGAATAAGGTGTTTCCACGTGGTGACAGACATGAAGGTGGTTAAGCAAGACCCAACAAAATGATTGCGTCAAATGTCACGAAAACAATTGTTTATGGGAATATATATTGACGGCAAAAAACCCAACAACTGTATGACCAAACATGGCATGCGGTAGAACGTTTGTTTACTTGATTACGGCAATATTACAAACAAAATCCCTTTCTGACAGCAGGGTGCTTGTCCAGGCGAGAAGCAGTTTCACAAACGACATTTAGCAACTCGTTCACATTTCTCGTGAAGTGAACTTTAACTTCCCGAAATATGGAAATAAATATATTAATAATAACAACTATTCAAAGCTGTTTTCGTCATCGAAATGGTAAATGAAGATCCCTCCACGACCATGCTGGTCGGGGAAGTTTGTTTTGCCACACTCCAGCAGGATGCATGGCACGGGTTGATTAACGGCGTGCGTCAAACTTCTCGGATGGGGGGGGTGTGAGGGGTCACCACAACAGTGATTCACCGCTAGGGGGAATGAACTTGGGTTGGGCCAAAGGAACATCTGGCAGTCGAGGACCCACCCCTGCGAACCCATAAACGACAGCCTACTGCATACCTCGCCTGGTATGCAGGAGCACGTGAGTTCGATCCCAACCCCGACGCTTTTACATTTGGAGTTTGCATGGCTCCTCTGCAGGTCCTCCGGTTTCCCCTCCACATTTAGAAACATGTGTTTAGAGTAATAATTAATTATTTTTCTACCTACGTGACTTTACCGAAAGAACCAAAGAGTATGGATTCCTGCAGTCACGAAAGCTTCAAATCAAGAATATGTTTAGAGTATTTGGTTGCTAGCAATTTTCACGTGATAAGCCACTTTGCTGAGCTATCATTTGTGGCAAGGTCAGTGGGCCTTACCTGATAAAATAAAAAGTTTAGTTTAGTTGTAGTATATATATTTGCACTATGTAACCTGTAGTGGTGGAGGTCAAATTAATTATCAGATTCCCAAAATGGAAAAAAAGTTTAATTTCCATCACTGGCACACAGGGTAACGAACAGATATGAAACCAATATGAAAGATTACAATGCAATGCAGCACTGTACTAGCCTTGTCAATACATCTCACTTGTAAACACTGACAAATGCACAAGATGGAGGCTCAAGTATATCATCCTCAAACATTAAAGACTTTTAAATGTCAGTGTCTGAAATGAGGTCTCAACTCACCGCGAGGAGGCAGTTGAGAGAATACGTGTCCAAGCTTCGTAATGGCAATCCCAAATGCCTCTGTGGTGTTGACTTTCCACAGAAAAGGGAGACAGAAACGAATAGCAATCATCATTAAAGTGCAAAGCAATTGTTATTTCAAAATGTGACGAACTAAATTCCCGTACTTATGTGTGTACGTATGTTTTGTTTCTCTATATATGCATTTGTAATTTTTATCCAATTTTATCTCAATCGCGCTCTCAGCGTCATGTCATGTGACGAAGTATCCGCTCGGATATCTGGCTGAGAGGCGTTCCTCTTCACATCAGAGAATGGCCCACATAAGTTGCTATAACACATTCTCCTGCGGAGGGAGCTGGTAGGAACGTTGGGTTGCTCGGTCAATGGCCAGGGCCAACGGCGGCGTGGTGTATTCCGCAAATATGCCCGACTGTGAGGGCGGGCACAAGCCGGCGTGAGTAGGTTAAACGTTGAGTTTTATAAGGGAACCACGGAGTGACCAGCCCCTCCCCACCCAGCCCCACCCCTCCCACCCCCCACCCTCCTCACCCAGCCCCTCCCCACCCTGCCCCTCCCCATCCAGCCCCTCCCCACCCTCCCCACCCAGCCCCTCCCCTCCCCACCCAGCCCCTCCCTCCCCACCCAGCCCCACCCCTCCTATTGTTGGATGCACGACGGACGGACACAATAATCCCCTGTGGGCTGGTGCAACCAGGAGGTTCCTACCAGTAACAGAACCACCTGCGTTAATGTAAAGTCTGGTCCACACAAGTAGAGGGCAGCACTTTCTTTTTTTTTACATATTTCGCAAAAAAATTGAAAGTAATATTTGTCGCTGAATAATAACTATTCATAGCCATTTTTTCCATGTTGAAAAGGAGCCAAATTTAATGCAAGGCCAAATTGAATGAGATTTTTTTTGGTGTGACGTGATGAGTGACCAACCAGGCTGGGGCCACGAATTAAGAACCCGGTTTAATCACAGGCCACCGCCTGGATTCAAACCCAGTGTATCAGCGGTGCCAGCTTACCTCTTCGAATCTCTGAGCCGCCCAGCCACCGGGGAGTTTGCCTATCGTTCAGATATATTTTTTAAATAAAATTACCGTGCGATCAAAACGAGGCGCTATTGTTTAATATTCTAAAATAAATACTTGTAACAGGTCTTCTGTAAGAAAAAAAATCTGTACAGCCACAAAACTTATAAGTTTCCACATACACTGTACAGTGAGGAAAAAAAGTATTTGATCCCCTGCTGATTTTGTACGTTTGCCCACTGACAAAGCAATGATCAGTCTATAATGTTAATGGTAGGTTTATTTTAACAGTGAGAGACAGAATAACAACAAAAATCCAGAAAAACGCATGTCAAAAATGTTATAAATTGATTTGCATTTTAATGAGGGAAATAAGTATTTAACCCCTCTGCAAAACATGACTTGGTACTTGGTGGCAAAACCTTTGTTGGCAATCAGAGGTCAGACGTTTCTTGTAGTTGGCCACCAGGTTTGCACACATCTCAGGAGGGATTTTGTCCCACTCCTCTTTGCAGATCTTCTCAAAGTCATTAAGGGTTTGAGGCTGACATTTGGCAACTCGAACCTTCAGCTCCCTCCACAGATTTTCTATGGGATTAAGGTCTGGAGCCTGGCTAGGCCACTCCAGGACCTTAATGTGCTTCATCTTGAGCCACTCCTTTGTTGCCTTGGCCGTGTGTTTTGGGTCATTGTCATGCTGGAATACCCATCCACGACCCATTTTGAATGCCCTGGCTGAGGGAAGGAGGTTCTCACCCAAGATTTGACGGTACATGGCCCCGTCCATCGTCCCTTTGATGCGGTGAAGTTGTCCTGTCCCCTTAGCAGAAAAACACCCCCAAAGCATAATGTTTCCACCTTCATGTTTGACAGTGGGGATGGTGTTCTTGGGGTCATAGGCAGCATTCCTCCTCCTCCAAACACGGCGAGTTGAGTTGATGCCAAAGAGCTCCATTTTGGTCTCATCTGACCACAACACTTTTAACCAGTTGCCCTCTGGATCATTCAGATGTTCATTGGCAAACTTCAGACGGGCATGTATATGTGCTTTCTTGAGCAGGGGGACCTTGCGGGCGCTGCAGGACTTCAGTCCTTCACGACGTAGTGTGTTACCAATTGTTTTCTTGGTGACTATGGTCCCAGCTGCCTTGAGATCATTGACAAGATCCTTCCGTGTAGTTCTGGGCTGATTCCTCACCGTTCTCATGATCATTGCAACTCCACGAGGTGAGATCTTGCATGGAGCCCCAGGCCGAGGGAGATTGACAGTTCTTTTGTGTTTCTTCCATTTGCGAATAATCGCACCAACTGTTGTCACCTTCTCACCAAGCTGCTTGGCAATGGTCTTGTAGCCCATTCCAGCCTTGTGTAGGTCTACAATCTTGTCCCTAACATCCTTGGAGAGCTCTTTGGTCTTGGCCATGGTGGAGAGTTTGGAATCTGATTGATTGATTGCTTCTGTGGACAGGTGTCTTTTATACAGGTAACAAGCTGAGATTAGGAGCACTCCCTTTAAGAGTGTGCTCCTAATCTCAGCTCGTTACCTGTATAAAAGACAGGAGCCAGAAATCTTTCTGATTGAGAGGGGGTCAAATACTTATTCCCCTCATTAAAATGCAAATCAATTTATAACATTTTTGACATCGTTTTTCTAGATTTTTTGTTGTTGTTATTCTGTCTATCACTGTTCAAATAAACCTACCATTAAAATTATAGGCTGATCATTTCTTTGTCAGTGGGCAAACGTACAAAAACAGCAGGGGATCAAATACTTTTTTCCCTCACTGTATAAGAAGTGATCACTCTTAAGAAGTATGCAAAACCACCATTTACTAAAGAAGTGCATTGTGATCATCTTAAGTCGCCATCAATACTTTGAGCAAATGTAACCAACAAACTTGCAGCGGGGAGACAGACAATTATAGACTAGTTTCATCATCATTAGTACAGTTATGCATGCTCACTGTTACCAAGTATTCCTCTGGGAACCTAAAACCATTTTAAAACGAAACAATATTTATTTTACCAGGTAACGCCCACTAAGCTTCATAGCTCTTTTTCAGAAAAGACCTGGCCACATATTATAGCTCAACTTTAGGGGCTTATAACGTGGAAATGTATTGCAGTCAAATACTGTACTCTAAACTCGTGTTTTTAACCTCATATGCGTAGAGACCCACTTCTAAAACTAAAAAATACCTATAAACTATGTTTTATGCTACCAGGTAAGGCCCACTGAGCTATACAGCTCTTTGATAGCTCAACGAAGTCGCTTATCACGTGAACATTGAGAGCAGACAAATACTCTAAACGCGTGATGTTGATTCTAACTATGGAGTGAAAACCCGGAGGACCCGGAGAAAAATCCACACGACAGCGGGGAGAACACGCAAACTCCAAATATGCAGGCGCCGTGGTCGTGATCGAACCCACGACCTCCTCCTGTACACCAGGCGACGGAGTTAACATCTCGCCACCGTGATGGGGACCCACATCGGCTCGTGTGGCGCAGGCCGGAAGACGTTTCGACAACGCACAGAGACGAACGCTGCATGTACAATAACCCCCCTCGGCCTTACGCAAAACCACTGCGCCTCGAGTAACTTTTAAAAACCAAGCAAAGCTCCAAAAAAAGCACGTTTCCGTAACTAACGCGATGAAAATCTCCAATGACGATGTCAGCAGCACTCTGTCCGCGTCCGGCTCGATCAACTCACCTGCCATGAGAGCGACGACGATGAGACGGGAGGCGGCCTACAAGTGAACGCGGCGCGTGCCGAAAAGTCCCACGAGAACGAATTCAAATCCTTCCCAAACACTTCGGTGGGGTCACCAACCACCACCACCGCCAAACCACCGCCTTGTCGACGATGCAACAGCAACGGCGCACGTGGAAAAAAAAAACAAAAAAACGTCGAGGTCCTGACCCCACCGACCCCCGTCGAAAACTTTCCGCCGTTTCGGACGAGACCTTCCGTTACAGACGACGCGCCGTCAAATGTGTGTCCCCGGCACATTTGACGTCGCCACGCCCGTGCTCACGAGCGACGGGGGCAACGCAGACAACCACGGAAATTTGGGGAGTGGTGGCGGATGGAGAGGGGTGGGGGTGGGAGAGCCTCATGCGGTCGATCCCCGACGCCACGTGCACCCAGCCGATTGCGTCCGACGCAGCCGTGGGCAGCGGTCGTATCGCTGCCGCTCGCCTGTTTGCAAAACGCCGCTGATAAGGAAGTCCGATGCCACAATGCTAGCGGGGCCGCCGCACCGCTTGCACCACTCGTGGCTATTTCTCCACAGTTCCTCCTCCTCCCCACCACCACCACCAAAATAATATAATAATTATAATAAAACTCCGCAGGCAGGCGCGCGCGTTGCGTGCGAGAAGTCAGATGACGTTGGGTTGGCAACCTGCGTCAAGGCGGTGGTGGCTTTTTTTAAACCCATCATCGGTCGCACAGCTGCGGATTTGACAACTTTTGCACAAATACGTCGGGGAATTTGCTTAAACTTCACTGCGGCCTTGCACCCCTTTTTGGTTCTCGATCGTAATTTTTTCCCCATGTATATAACGGTGATAAATACGCAGGGTTTGATGAAACAATGTAAGTTGTGACTTACGTGCCCGTGCGTAATTTGTGTTTCGATTATTTACCTTCTAGCAAACACGTGGCCATGTTTCGCACCCTCAGAAAGGGCATCTCGCACCCCCAGGTAACACGTGCAGCCCAGGTTAAGAAGAACCACTGGTTTAATCAAACATTGTCAGCTTAAGAACCACTGGTTTAATCAAACATTGTCAGGTTAAGAACCACTGGTTTAATCAAACATTATCAGGTTAAGAACCACTGGTTTAATCAAACATCAGGTTAAGAACCACTGGTTTCATTAAACATTGTCAGCTTAAGAACCACTGGTTTAATCAAACATTGTCAGGTTAAGAACCACTGGTTTAATCAAACATTGTCAGGTTAAGAACCACTGGTTTCATTAAACATTGTCAGGTTAAGAACCACTGGTTTAATCAAACATTATCAGCTTAAGAACCACTGGTTTAATCAAACATTATCAGGTTAAGAACCACTGGTTTCATTAAACATTGTCAGCTTAAGAACCACTCGTTTAATCAAACATTGTCAGCTTAAGAACCACTGGTTTCATTAAACATTGTCAGCTTAAGAACCACTGGTTTAATCAAACATTGTCAGGTTAAGAACCACTGGTTTCATTAAACATTATCAGCTTAAGAACCACTGGTTTCATTAAACATTGTCAGCTTAAGATCCACTGGTTTAATCAAACATTATCAGCTTAAGAACCACTGGTTTAATCAAACATCAGGTTAAGAACCACTGGTTTCATTAAACATTGTCAGGTTAAGAACCAATGGTTTAATCAAACATTATCAGCTTAAGAACCACTGGTTTAATCAAACATTATCAGGTTAAGAACCACTGGTTTCATTAAACATTGTCAGCTTAAGAACCACTGGTTTAATCAAACATTGTCAGCTTAAGAACCACTGGTTTCATTAAACATTGTCAGCTTAACCACTGGTTTCATTAAACATTATCAGCTTAAGAACCACTGGTTTCATTAAACATTGTCAGCTTAAGATCCACTGGTTTAATCAAACATTGTCAGGTTAAGAACCACTGGTTTAATCAAACATTATCAGCTTAAGAACCACTGGTTTAATCAAACATTGTCAGGTTAAGAACCACTGGTTTAATCAAACATTGTCAGCTTAAGAACCACTGGTTTAATCAAACATTGTCAGCTTAAGAACCACTGGTTTCATTAAACATTGTCAGCTTAAGAACCACTGGTTTAATCAAACATTGTCAGGTTAAGAACCACTGGTTTCATTAAACATTATCAGCTTAAGAACCACTGGTTTCATTAAACATTGTCAGCTTAAGATCCACTGGTTTAATCAAACATTATCAGCTTAAGAACCACTGGTTTAATGAAACATCAGGTTAAGAACCACTGGTTTCATTAAACATTGTCAGCTTAAGAACCACTGGTTCAATCAAACATTGTCAGGTTAAGAACCACTGGTTTCATTAAACATTATCAGCTTAAGAACCACTGGTTTGATTAAACATTATCAGCTTAAGAACCACTGGTTTAATCAAACATTATCAGGTTAAGAACCACTGGTTTGATTAAACATTATCAGCTTAAGAACCACTGGTTTTATTAAACATTGTCAGCTTAAGATCCACTGGTTTAATCAAACATTATCAGCTTAAGAACCACTGGTTTAATCAAACATCAGGTTAAGAACCACTGGTTTCATTAAACATTGTCAGGTTAAGAACCAATGGTTTAATCAAACATTATCAGCTTAAGAACCACTGGTTTAATCAAACATTATCAGGTTAAGAACCACTGGTTTCATTAAACATTGTCAGCTTAAGAACCACTGGTTTAATCAAACATTGTCAGCTTAAGAACCACTGGTTTCATTAAACATTGTCAGCTTAACCACTGGTTTCATTAAACATTATCAGCTTAAGAACCACTGGTTTCATTAAACATTGTCAGCTTAAGATCCACTGGTTTAATCAAACATTGTCAGGTTAAGAACCACTGGTTTAATCAAACATTATCAGCTTAAGAACCACTGGTTTAATCAAACATTGTCAGGTTAAGAACCACTGGTTTAATCAAACATTGTCAGCTTAAGAACCACTGGTTTAATCAAACATTGTCAGCTTAAGAACCACTGGTTTCATTAAACATTGTCAGCTTAAGAACCACTGGTTTAATCAAACATTGTCAGGTTAAGAACCACTGGTTTCATTAAACATTATCAGCTTAAGAACCACTGGTTTCATTAAACATTGTCAGCTTAAGATCCACTGGTTTAATCAAACATTATCAGCTTAAGAACCACTGGTTTAATGAAACATCAGGTTAAGAACCACTGGTTTCATTAAACATTGTCAGCTTAAGAACCACTGGTTCAATCAAACATTGTCAGGTTAAGAACCACTGGTTTCATTAAACATTATCAGCTTAAGAACCACTGGTTTAATCAAACATTATCAGGTTAAGAACCACTGGTTTGATTAAACATTATCAGCTTAAGAACCACTGGTTTTATTAAACATTGTCAGCTTAAGAACCACTGGTTTTAAAACATTGTCAGGTTAAGAACCACTGGTTTAATCAAACATTGTCAGCTTAAGAACCACTGGTTTAATCAAACATTGTCAGCTTAAGAACCACTGGTTTCATTAAACATTATCAGGTTAAGAACCACTGGTTTAATCAAACATTATCAGGTTAAGAACCACTGGTTTAATCAAACATTGTCAGCTTAAGAACCACTGGTTTAATGAAACATTGTCAGGTTAAGAACCACTGGTTTAATCAAACATTGTCAGGTTAAGAACCAATGGTTTAATCAAACATTATCAGCTTAAGAACCACTGGTTTAATCAAACATTATCAGGTTAAGAACCACTGGTTTCATTAAACATTGTCAGCTTAAGAACCACTGGTTTAATCAAACATTGTCAGCTTAAGAACCACTGGTTTCATTAAACATTGTCAGCTTAACCACTGGTTTCATTAAACATTATCAGCTTAAGAACCACTGGTTTCATTAAACATTGTCAGCTTAAGATCCACTGGTTTAATCAAACATTGTCAGGTTAAGAACCACTGGTTTAATCAAACATTATCAGCTTAAGAACCACTGGTTTAATCAAACATTGTCAGGTTAAGAACCACTGGTTTAATCAAACATTGTCAGCTTAAGAACCACTGGTTTAATCAAACATTGTCAGCTTAAGAACCACTGGTTTCATTAAACATTGTCAGCTTAAGAACCACTGGTTTAATCAAACATTGTCAGGTTAAGAACCACTGGTTTCATTAAACATTATCAGCTTAAGAACCACTGGTTTCATTAAACATTGTCAGCTTAAGATCCACTGGTTTAATCAAACATTATCAGCTTAAGAACCACTGGTTTAATGAAACATCAGGTTAAGAACCACTGGTTTCATTAAACATTGTCAGCTTAAGAACCACTGGTTCAATCAAACATTGTCAGGTTAAGAACCACTGGTTTCATTAAACATTATCAGCTTAAGAACCACTGGTTTAATCAAACATTATCAGGTTAAGAACCACTGGTTTGATTAAACATTATCAGCTTAAGAACCACTGGTTTTATTAAACATTGTCAGCTTAAGAACCACTGGTTTTAAAACATTGTCAGGTTAAGAACCACTGGTTTAATCAAACATTGTCAGCTTAAGAACCACTGGTTTAATCAAACATTGTCAGCTTAAGAACCACTGGTTTCATTAAACATTATCAGGTTAAGAACCACTGGTTTAATCAAACATTATCAGGTTAAGAACCACTGGTTTAATCAAACATTGTCAGCTTAAGAACCACTGGTTTAATGAAACATTGTCAGGTTAAGAACCACTGGTTTAATCAAACATTGTCAGGTTAAGAACCACTGGTTTAATCAAACATTATCAGGTTAAGAACCACTGGTTTAATCAAACATTGTCAGGTTAAGAACCACTGGTTTAATTAAACATTGTCAGCTTAAAAACCACTGGTTTAATCAAACATTGTCAGGTTAAGAACCACTGGTTTAATCAAACATTGTCAGGTTAAGAACCACTGGTTTAATCAAACATTATCAGGTTAAGAACCACTGGTTTAATCAAACATTGTCAGGTTAAGAACCACTGGTTTCATTAAACATTGTCAGCTTAAGAACCACTGGTTTAATCAAACATTATCAGGTTAAGAACCACTGGTTGCATTAAACATTATCAGCTTAAGAACCACTGGTTTAATCAAACATTGGCAGGTTAAGAACCACTGGTTTAATCAAACATTGTCAGGTTAAGAACCACTGGTTTAATCAAACATTATCAGGTTAAGAACCACTGGTTTAATCAAACATCAGGTTAAGAACCACTGGTTTAATCAAACATTGTCAGCTTAAGAACCACTGGTTTAATCAAACATTATCAGGTTAAGAACCACTGGTTTAATCAAACATTGTCAGGTTAAGAACCACTGGTTTAATAAAACATTGTCAGGTTAAGAACCACTGGTTTAATTAAACATTATCAGCTTAAGAACCACTGGTTTAATCAAACATTGTCAGGTTAAGAACCACTGGTTTAATTAAACATTGTCAGCTTAAAAACCACTGGTTTCATTAAACATTGTCAGCTTAAGAACCACTGGTTTAATCAAACATTATCAGGTTAAGAACCACTGGTTGCATTAAACATTATCAGCTTAAGAACCACTGGTTTTATTAAACATTGTCAGCTTAAGAACCACTGGTT